TCACCGTCACCCACACCGATTACCAGCAGGTGAGTGGGTGGGGCTTTGTTTGTTTGGGCGCGCGTGTGCTTGTGTATGTAGATTTCTTTATGCGTGAGAGAGAGTTGTGTTTTTATGATGTCTGTTTCTTTTATTATCTACAATGCTTGAAACCACATCATTACAAACGCTTGTTATAGACTTACTTATAAGAGTAAAAATAATAACTTGATTTTCTTATGCATGAGAGACTGAGAGATTGATTTCGGTATTTTTTTATGTTTTTTTTTTTTTTTTTAATTAATGCTTCTATTAATGGAACCACAATATAAACGCTTCTTATATACCCACTTATGAGTAAAAACAATAACAGAAGCCTTCTAAAATCATTAAAAATATATACTGTCCACACACGATGACGCAATGAGCCACCAAGCTCCGTGTGGTATCTCACAGGAAGTTAAAAAAATGTCTAATCACATCATTCATCTTTCTTTTTGTGGTCATCCGTGAACCACAAAGCGAAAGGGAGTTATACACCAATTTCCCTTTAGATAACAATGACTAAACCGTGAATGGAGAGAGAGAATTGTTGTGTTTGTTATATAATTTTTTGTGCGCGTGTGTTTGTTTTTAGTCGTGATGTGAGAAGTTATATTGATCCATTTATCTTTTATTGTTATATTTTAACGGTTTTAATGTTATAGGTAAGAAAATACAAACACAAATATTTTGACGTTTTGCCTGTGTATACGTTTCTCTCTGTATATCCTTATTCTTGTTTCTATTCTATATTACAATTTCCTTTTTTTTCCAGCTGGAATTGACGAAGACGTTGACCGAAACGAGCATAAGTTACGTCACACATCAAAACACCGAATACATCACGCAGGTTTGTGGGAAATTTATGTTTATTTATAGATTGAGTGTTCTCTCTCTCTCTCTCTCTCTCTCTCTCTCTCTCTCTCTCTCTCTCTCTCTCTCTCTCTCTTCTCTCTCTCTCTTCTCTCTCTCTCTCTCTCTCTCTCTCTCTCTCTCTCTCTTTCTCTTTCTCTTTCTCTTTCTCTTTCTCTTTCTCTCTCTCTCTCTCTCTCTCTCTCTCTCTCTCTCTTCTCTTTCTCTCTCTTTCTCTCTCTCTCTCTCTCTCTTTTCTCTCTCTTTCTCTCTCTCTCTCTCTCTCTCTCTCTCTCTCTCTCTCTCTCTCTCTTCTCTCTCTCTCTCTCTCTCTCTCTCTCTCTCTCTCTCTCTCTCTGAGACCAAGGGTGAAGGGAATGAAGTGGAGAGGAAAATGAAGAAAGGGAGAGAGAAGGAAGGAATAAAGACAGAGACAGAGAACGGAGAAAAGAGATCAAGAACGGATAAAATGGGAAAAAAGAATGAGAGAGAATCAAATTATAACAACACACGCTATTGATTTTCACTCGCCCCACCTATTTATGTCAAAGTAGCCCCTTACTTAAAACAAATGACCCACAATTCCAACACTTGGCAACGACCGAATTAAAACAATAACTGATATCCCAACGGCAAAAAAAAATCAATTAAAAAAAAGAAGTAAAAAATAGATAAATAACTAAAATAACAAAAATAACGGAGATTGTAGAGCGGTAAGTGTGATTCCGTGAGAAACATCAGCTCAAGCGTGACAGACTGCCTCCCCCCCCCTCCCCCAACCACCCACCCCCCTACCCCAGCACAACCCCGTTCATGTTGCGTCATCATAACTGGGTTCCTCAATCCATGAGTGAATTTCTATATGATGTTTATAGGGTGTTCGTGTGGCTTTGTATAGAAAAAGTGTTTTGATAATTGATGCTAATGATGATTATAATAATGGCAATGATAATAAAATTTATAATGGTAATGACAATGAAATTTATAATGGTAATGATAATTAAGATAATAATGATAAAAATAATAATGGTAATGATAATTATAGCATTGATAATAGTAATCATAATGATAATGATAATGCTTATAAACATAATGATAATAAATCACAATAATTATTGTACCAAAATCATAATGGTTATTATAATAACATTAAAACAGTGATGATAATTATAAATAATAATGGTAATAAAGAGGATAAATAATGATAGTGATGACAATAATAATGATAATAATGATAATATTGATTATTGATATCAGTAGTAATAACAATAATGAAACATACTGATAGCACGGATGATGATGATAATGATAACGATGATAATGATCATGATTATGATAATGATATAATCTTAATGATGATGATAACAGAAATAGTAAAGATCATCTTAATGCAGTAGTGAGGATAAATATGAATAATGATGATAATGATGACAATACTAGAGACATTTTACAACCGCGACTGCCGTTGTTAATAATATTCAGTTGATCAAAACGGTTATAATAATAACAAATTTCAAAAGCAGTATGATTAAAGAACTTAATGATTTTGTTATTGTTGTCATCATCACCAGTATCGTCATCGTTATTATCATTATGGTAATTTCTTATGTTATTAGTGATATAGTTCTGATTTTTATAATGATTATGCTAATTTAATCAGATATTATGATAAATATAGGACCAGCATCCTCATGAATATTGATCATGATAATGGTAACTATGGCAACGGTAGGGATGATTAAAAGGACAAGGAGAAGGGTGCACGTGATTAAGCAAGCAACAATATATATATACATATAATATATATATATATATATATATATATATATATATATATATATATATATATATATATATATATATATATATATTATATATATATATATAATATATATATATATTACAGAGAGAGAGAGAGAGAGATACATGCATACATATACTATTTTATGTATATGTATGTATGTACATTCATTATATATATATATATATATGTTGTGTGTGTGTGTGTGTGTGTGTGTGTGTGTGTGTGTGTGTGTATAACTGGCGTGTATGTGTGTGCATATAAAAGTATTTTATTGCGTATGTATGTTTGTATCGATAAAGATGTCTAGAAGGGAATATCACCGAGAAAATGTGTAAATGACCCAAAAAAGTGATAAGCTTTAGGGAAGTAACTTAAGCCAGAAAATACTCTAAAGATAAGTAGAGTCGGCAAGAAAGTGCTAAATTAAAAGCAAGAAAGAGCTAGTCACGACTTTCAGATTGCTCAGCAGACACCAGGAAGTAGATCAGGGGATGGGGGGGGGGGAGGAGGAGGAAAAGAAGAAGATGAAGAAGGAGGAGAAGGAGGAGGCCGAGGAGAAAGAGACAGCGGAATAACAACCAGTGAATAGCGACTGGAGTGGAGAAGAGAGAAAGAGATAGCGAAGAGAGGAGACTAAGAATACACTGGAAAGAAAGAGATAAGATAGATAGATCTCTGAAGATACAGAGAAGAGAGAATGAGACTAAGAAGACACTGGAAGGAAAGAGATAAGATAGATAGAAAGTTGAAGAAGTAAAGGACAAATGAACAGTAAAAGAAGCAAGGAAAAGAGACTGAGAAGAGAGAAGGAGACTAAGAAGAAATACACTGGAAAGAAAGAGATAAGATAGAAAGTTGAATAAGTAAAGGACAAGTGAAGAGCAAAATAGCAGAAAAAAAAATGCATAGAGAGAGACAGAAGTGAGAAGAGAGAACGATACTGTAAAGAGAGAAAGAAACAGAAGAGAGAAAACAGAATTATTAAAGGACCAGAGAAAAGCAAAAGAAACAAAGAAGAGAGGGTAGAGAAGAGACGAGAATAAAGGTAAGAAAAAGATAAAAGGGAATAGTGATTTTGGAACACAAAAAAGTAAAAGAGGGAGCAGGGGTAAAGGTGAAGAAGAACCGAAGATAAGAAAATATGAAGAAGAGGGGAAAGGAAAGTTAACGTTGACTTCCGGATTTTAGAAAGGGAATAAGAAGAAAAAATGGGAAGAGAATAAACCAAATAAGAAGTAGACGAATAGAGAAAGAGTGACATGACGAACACAGACCTTCATAAAAGTTCCTCAGCTGAAGAAAAGGTAAACCCCTGACTTAGAATATATGTATATTATTTCTTTTCCATAATTTTGACTAGATCATCATGTTTCTCTTCCTGATTTTCACTAGAAGGGTATCTTTCATTTTTTATTTTTTATTTTTTATTTATTATTTTTTTTTTTTTTTTTTTTTTTTTTGTTAGGAAGGTTACGTTTCTATTTTATATTTTGACTAAAAGTTTTTATTTTATTTTATTTGACTTTTGTTTTTTTTTTTAAAGGAAGGAAAGGGGCAACACAATTTTTTTTTCTAGGAATTTCTATTTCTATTTCTATTTTGACTAATTTTTTTTTATTTTTTTTTTTTTTTTTTTTTTTGGAAAGGAAGGGGGGGGTAACACTCAATCACCTCCCCCCCCCCTCCCCCCACGAGAAAGAAAGTCAAAGCGTAAAGCAAAGGACAAATGGTAAATAGAAGAGAAAGCTAAAAGAATAACGAAAGAGGCGAGAAAAAGAACTGATAAATACGAGGGAATAGACAAGGTCAAATCAAAGCGAAGAGGAGGGAAGGATGAAAAAAAGATAAAGAGGGGAAATGGCGCACGCGACGACGAAAGGGGAAGGGACAGAGGAAAATAATTGAGGTATGACACAGGTGGAAGAAGATGAAAGGAGTGGTATGCAATGGCGTAATAGACATTTTAAAAAGGAGATTGATTACAGATTTGAGGGATGGGAGAAAGGGAGAGAGAGTGAAAAGGACAAGAATAGGGTAGAAAATAAACAGAGAAAGAGAGAGACAGAGAGAGCGACGAAGAAGGTCGAGCAAGAGCAAAAGGGATTTGATTTTGAATAGTTCATTTGGATAAATATTACATGACCCAAATATACCCAACTCCTTTGGAGTGAGGAGAGAGAGAGAGCGAAAGCGAAAGAGAAAGAGGGAGACGGAGAGAGAGAGAGAGGGAGCGAAACCGAAAGAGAGAGAGAAAGAGAAAGAGGGAGACGGAGAGAGAGGAAGAGAGAGAAAGAAAGGGGGAGACGGAGAAAGAGAGAAACCGAGATAGAGGGAGAGAGCGAAAGAGAGAACCGACCGACCAAAACCGAGAAAGAAACAGAGACATAAACCAGAAACAAACAACCCAACAAGCAAGATCAAGGGAATAAAAAAACGGCAGATAAACCACAGAAGAGAGAAAAAAAGACCCAAGAAAACTGAAGACGACCCACACACGACGGTAGACAAACAGAAAACCGTAAAGGATTTTCTCCCATGAGTTGCATTTTATTAAATCGTCTTATTCATGCGAAGACTTTCCCCTCTGTGTGCGGGCGTGTGCAGTGCGTGGGAATCTGTGTGCGGGTGTGTGTGTGTGCCTAAGAGTGTGTGTGTGCTTGTTGGTTTGAGTGTGTGCGTGTGTGTAGAGATTTGTGTGTTTGTTTGTGTATGTGGGTATTGGTGTGTTTGTGTATGTGGGTATTTGTGTGTTTACGTATGTGGGTATTTGTGTGTTTGTGTATGTGGGTCTTTGTGTGTTTGTTTGTGTATGTGGGTATTTGTGTGTTTGTGTATGTGGGTATTTGTGTGTTTGTGTATGTGGGTATTTGTGTTTTTGTGTATGTGGGTATTTGTGCGCATGTGTGTTTGTGTGCGTAAGTGTGTGTGTGTGTTTGTTTGAGTGTGTTTGTGTGTGTTTCTTTGAGTATGTTTTTGTATGTATGTATGTTAGTGTGTGTGTTTATGTGTGTAGATATGTAGAAAGTATTTCTTTTGAACACATTCTTTATTGCTATTATCATAATTATTTTTATTGTGATTGTTTTAATGTAAGTGGGTATTTGTGCGTTTGTTTGTTTGAATATGTGGATTTTTGTGTTTGTGTGTGTTTATGTATGTGGGTAATTGTGCTTGTTTGTTTGAGCGTGTGTGTATATGTGGTCATTTGTGTGTTTGTGTATGTGGGTATTTGTGTGTTTGTTTGAGCGTGTTTGTGTGTATGGGTATTTGTGTATTTGTTTATTTGTGTATGTGGGTATTTGTGGGTTTGTTTGAGTGTCTTTGTGCATGTGGGCATTTGTGGGTTTGTATATGTGGGTGTATTTTGTAGTGTTTGTGTATGTGGGTATTTGTGTGTTTGTTTGAGTGTGTTTGCGTATGTGTTTGTGTGTTTGAGTGTGTTTGTGTATGTGGGTACATGTGTTTGTTTGTTTGAGTGTGTTTGTGTATGTGGGTACATGTGTTTGTTTGTTTGAGTGTGTTTGTGTATGTGTACATGTGTGAGTGTGTTTGTGTCTAAGTGTATGTGTTTCTGTGTTTTGTATGTGTTTTTGTGTTTGTGTATGTGCATGTATCTATGTATGTGAGCTTGTTTGTTTGAGTGTGTTTGTGTCTTGTGTGTGTTTTTTTTTAGTATGTCTGTGTATGTATGTATGTTAGTCTGTGTATATGTGTGTAAATATGTAGAAAGTATTCGTTTGATCACATTTTTTATTGCTATTATCATAATTACCTTTCTTGTGACTGTTTTAGTGCTGCAGTTATTGTTTATAATTGTGCCTATCACAGTTTTATGTTTTTATAGTGGTTTTCATATCATGAATTTCTTAATGTGGTTGGCATTATCATTCTCTTTATATATAACGCTGTTCATAGTTTCATCGTCATTATCATTGCCATTACTATAATTAGCAATTCACTGTTGTAGTTGTTAGTGTTGCTGCTATTCTCATTAGTTATTTCTTAATATAGCCTCATTATCACCATTTATATCAATGATGTATTTTACATTATCATTTTTGTTGCATAAAGGTCATCAAGAAAGTAATAGTATTTTATTGGTCATATTTTATATCTAATTTCTTAATACCTCTATAAGTCATATATTTTTTATTATGTGTATGATTGTGTACAAAAAAGACCCTAAATCACCTCTTTTTCAAGATTAGACCTTATTGCACTGTGTTTTAAAGATCTAAATAATCTTTTTTTTTAACAGACCGAGCCACTGCCGATCTACAATACGGAATACGAGACCGAATTCAGGACCGAATACGTGACCGAGACCGACTATCAGGAGGTACCCGTATTCACTACGGTATTCCAGACTCAGTACCAGACCGAATTCCAGATTGAGACCGAGTACCAAGAAGTACCCGTGTACAGTACGCTCGTGACTACCGTGTACCACACCAAGTACCGGACAGAACATACCACTACGACAGAGACGGAGAACTACCCTATTTATACGACCTACTACACGACTTTCACCGAGACCGAATACTTACCTACTTACTTGACCGAGACGCACTTCGATACCCAGCACGTGACGCGAACGGCCACCGTCACCACCACAGCTCTTGACTACGTCACCACAACTGCCTACGTCACCACCACGACTTTCCAGGACGTGTACGTCACCCAGACCCACGAGGTGCCTTCCTACTTCACTGAAACGACGGTCAAACAGCTGGTCATCACACAGACAGAGAGCATTCCACACTACATCACCACGACGGAGGTACGCGAGGTGATGGTGACGCAGACGACCACCATCCCCCTCT